TTTTTCTTCCTAGATGTGTATACCTGTCATTCCTCATCCGAAGACTGACTCATCTGATCAGTGTGGTCAACAGATTGTTGGGCATGTAAAAGAGGATGAGCCCCCAGCTCTTGGCTAACAGTAACAACATTCTCATTCTGAAGAGAAGGTAAACATGTCTTCTCAGCACCTGATGCTTCCTGAGGATGTGGAGCTGCAATACTATCCTGATTATCGGACCGAAGAATATCCTTTGGAGGTAAGGATCCTGCAGTATGGTTTTCAACAGTGATAGAGACTGTAGGATGTCCATGTAAATCATCTGCCCATACATCAATCGGAAGAACAAAAACAGTATTGTCTCCGGTATTGAGGGAGAGGTGACATCGTGTCAACCAGTATTTCAATAGTCTGTGGAATGCACTCGGGAGCAGAAGAGGAACAGTGAAGTGGGGCAGATCCAATATATATATATATTTCTACAAATCATTTGAGATTTATAACGTCATTGTTATACTTTATTTTGAGATGTTGATTGTAATCCAATTCTGCCTAATAGATCTTTTTTGCATTAAACTATTTAATGAAGAAGATTTTACCTTGGTTATCGAGAACTTCATCTTGATCTCAGGGATGGGAGCGGCACTTTTAAGTCCATTTGATTGCTTTCCAATTGTTTGTGTTTGTTAGAAACATGTACAGTCCACCAATCTTAGGCATCATGTTATTCCTTAATAATGACATAATCATGGGAATTACTTTATTATAAGTGCAAATTTTGGGTTTTTAAATCTAGAGGAGATGAAGATAAATGATTTTTATTCAAAATTTTTTACAATTAAGACCACTTCAATTAGTTTTATCTATTGAAACGATACAAGATTTGTAGCCATTGGAATTCTCCTAAGTTTGATTTTCACCATTCATGATAGTCGACTTTAGAAGGGAAGTTAAAAGTCGAACATGATCAGGGGAATAATATTGAATAAGTGGAAAAGTTTTGGTCGGAAAGATGATCCTAACTTAATTTTGATGCCATATAGAAACAAACTGGCTATAAACATGGTTTGTCATCTCCCAATTGGTATTTGTATACAAAATTTCTCAAATAAGAAATGGAAACCTCTAATTATAAAGATTTTGAATTTAAAATTGTTGCGAAAAACTTTCTATTCTGGTTGAAAGGCGGGAGCAATTCACGACACTTTTTTTTTCATATTAAGTACATAGAACACATGAATTCTTGGATCCTTTCATTTCCTATTTAGCAATATCCTGGTAGTTTCAACACAAAACTAGTAGGCCTAGAGTCTAATTATCGTTATTATGTAAAAACCAAAATTGTTATTAAACCTGCACTATGTAGAGGTTCTTTTGTGATATGCTTTGCTTTAGCAATTCTTGAGATAAAAATTCACGTGTCATCCAGTCAATAGAACCAAAAGATACTTGTAACTCGGATTGGTAAACCATGAATATTATCCTCGGTTATTCCTAGTTTGAAAAGATTCAATAAAGCTGCAGAAAAATATTGAGATGATGTGACCATGCTTTACATTTTTAAAGCATATATTGACATTCTCGACAAATTATTCCTGTGATTTCTAAGTACAGCTGTGTTAATTAAAAAAAAATGGAAAATTTAGCTTTATTGGATCTAAAGTGTGATGAAACTATGAAATGTAAATAAAGTTGAAGCTTATAGAGCTCAGTAAAGTATAACAGTCGAAGACTATCCTACTCAGGTGATGAGATTGATGAATCGTGATATGCAGTTCCACTTTGCTAGCAACTTGCTTACAATTTAGTTGGAAATATTGAAATCGGGAGTTCATTGTCCTTCCATTTTATTGCTATTAAGTTATTCAATTTTGAATAATTTCATTTCATTGAATGTATGTTATTGCTGATTATCAAATCCTTTGTTGATCGCAAACCTGCCCAGAGAATCGCTTTTGGAGTCAGCATGTTGTGGATAGTTATTAGTTACTGCTGCTTATAAATTCTAAACCTTCCTAGACTAATATGTGAACCAGTTAAATCACACTTTACACACTGAAGTTTATGCACGCAACTTTGCCCATGTATTGCATGGTGGCTGTTTCCAATTTTAATATAAGTTATTCGGGGTGAACTTTGTTAAATAAGTAAAAATTTATAATGGCTATGTATAATCATTGAAGGATTAAGAAGTAATAAAGCACAACAAAGATCACTCGGATACAAATTATGCAAAAGCTTTTGCTCATATTAGGTTGAAACCTCATGCAACACTCGTTGGGGATAAATGAAAAAGAAGGATTTGTTAGAAAAGTACCAACTAGTAGGAGTAATGCTAATGATGATGACAATGATAATAATGATGATGGTGATGGTGATGGTGATGGTGATGGTGATGGTGAAGGTCATTACGACCTAATTATTGCACTCGAAAGTGACCAATTGTGTGTGCATGAAATATTTACAATTTTCTTGCTGGTTACTCAGATTTGGCTCAGGATGCTAGTAGGAAGTGCTTTTATGCTTTAATCTATGATTCATACACAAGCTACAGCATCTTTTACTCATGTCTAGGATGGCCTTGATTACGTTAGAAAGAAAAATGTAAAGCAAACATTCCTTCTTTGTTGTTTGCTTTATTCTCACCATTTAATTAACAATAAATTGTTTTGTTAAAGCACTTTGTATAACATAAGCTGCCCACATTCAGATTTTTTAATACAATGCAAAATAAATTAATCAGATGGAAAATGCTCATGGAGAGGAGAGATGCCGTCCGAGCTTGAACTTCTTATTGTGCTATGTGGCTATATGAGAGGAACCTCAAATCATTATTATTATCTACTCCTTTGGTTGTCCAATCATCAGAGCTGTATATTCCAATTTTACATAAATATGATATTACTCTTGCTGTATTGATCTTTACAGTCTTTACAGAAAAAAAAAAAAAGCTATTTTTGATTGCCATCACTCTTTTATGAGTTGGTTTGGTGGCGGTTGTTTCCCAAATTTCCTTAGGGACCTGGGCTTCCTACCCGTGGCCGCTAATTCTGGTTGAAAACTTGTTTCTGAAGGATTAATTTCACCCTACACTGTTGCTCAGATTTGGAACAATTTTTTCTCTGAGGCAACCTACGAAATAAAATCTTTAGGTGAATTTTACACCTTAGTCCTTGTGTTTGTAGTGAGGGGAACCCATCTTGTGAAGCACGATAAAAAGGAAGTTATGTTTATATTAATTGAATATATTGCTCATTTGTTAAAGAGCATCTTCCCTCGCTGTCTTTTTCATTCAAAATTCACTAATTTGCTGCATTAGGGGATTGAAAACTTGTTCCTTTGATTGTTCATTATTTGCTATGTCCTTAATTCTTATTTGCAAAAATCGAACCCCTTCCTTCTCTATTAAGAAGCTATACCAATATGTTCCAATGCATTGACATTATTTGTTACGTCCATTTCTGTCAAAAACTGTTATTTGTGCATTGCGTCACTTTTAATTTAGAGAAATTTATAGGTACGGACTATCCGCTTGAGTACATGGTTGTGTGCTTTTGCTTTATTGATGTAGAATTACATACACAATCTTCATTTACATATTGGGATAATTACATACACAACATTTGAAATATTTCTATTTACAAACCCTAGCATTAATGTGATTTTTTGAACCACAGAACCAATGGATTTACGTGTGCCGCGCTCAAACGATTGAGAATTTGAAACATACTAGAAAGAGGGTCCTAGATTGTATATAGCAATGTTTTGAGTGCTATGTGTGTAATTCTCCTCACCTCAATTTACGCTTCAACCCAATCCATGTAGCTTTAGGTTTCTTATGTTCTGCACATGGTTGCATTTATCTGTTTCCCTGTTGTCCAGAAGCCACTCTCCACTGTCCAGTCTTGGTTGCATTTCTGTTTGTTTAGCCCGAATGATCATGGAAAGCTTCTTTTGTTAAATTTTACCTTCCATGTTTCTTAGAATATCGATTTACAGAAATAAATCTTTGTTTTTTTTCACTTTATTTCTATAATTCTAATGTTTTTTTTTGTGCCATGCAATTTGCTTTCTGACTATTACTTTTTTTGGGGGCATTTTCTTAGCAGGTATTGAGATCTTCCACCAGTATGTGTCATTGGAGAATGACAGTAATGTGCCACTGTTGTATCATTTGGTAGTCGTTTCCTGAAAATCTGATTTTGTTACATCTTTAGGCTCATAGTATCAGTGATTCGTGCAATATATCTTGATTTATTTGGATTTTAGGTCAACTTTTATTAGTCATCTCTGCATCAATATACTGTTTTACACCCCCAATTAAGTCTCGGAGGAAAAGGGAAACGACTCATAATTTAAACCGAAGGAGAACCAAATTTAGGTGAAGCAATTATTCATCTGAAAGGAGTTTTTTCATGCTTACTTCCAGTATTTGAGGTGATGGCAGCTTGTAAGTGATCGTCGTCAAATTATTAGGGTTTCAGTAGGGCTTTTATTTTTTATTTTTCTGGCAGGGGTGAGAGTTTAACCCTTAAAATTTTTTTTATATATATTTTTTTTCCAATTAATGTGAAATTAGTTCGGAGACAAAGGAAGTAGATTTTACTAGCAATAATATGATGTAATTATGGATATATAGAACAAGTAGATACTTAATCTGACATCTATTTAAGTAAAATAATTTTCAAATTTAAGTATTTTTATACCTTTTTTGTGGAGCACTAAGGTATCATATATTTAAGAGTTTCATGAGATTTTCATCTTGATGCTTTTAAAATTTAATTTTTTTTACTTTTCAAATATATTCTATGATTGAGGCGAGAGATGCATCTCAACAAGGGTTCAAATTTACTTCCATCATACATTACTACGGGGTGGTGTTTAAATTCACTTGCATCATAAAATACTATTCATCGAGAAACATTTATTCTACATCATGCCGCTTCGTAACAAGTCGAGCACATGTTAAATGCATGTATTTGCTTGGTGCTTGCCTCAGATATACATGTACCATGTATAACGTAATTACAAAATTTTTAGAATTACGTGTGTGCGCGCGTGTGCATATATATATATATATATATAAAAGGCTCACATGCAGTGAAATAAAAGAAAATAAATGTTACCACCCTTATATCTCACACCTGCTCTTTCCTTGGATCATCTAAATACTTTTTATTATTGTTTTAATTTAACCTCTATCATTAAAATATAATAGTGAAGTATGCTTCTCTGAACTCTTCAAATGGACTTAGCTCGAACTGATGATCAAATTCTTGATGGGAATCATAAGCTTAATAATGTTTTAATAACAGCCCGTGCCTCTAATGATCTTTTCTATGATGATCCGTCAATGATAGGTGGATGTGATAATTGATCTGTTCCAATTTCGATATGCACCTGAGATGGCATCTTCCCGACATTCTAGTTGTTTGACATCAAGACTGCCTAGGAAGGCTTCCATTTTACCCAAAAAGCATATGCCGTGTGCCAGGGAGAAGATGAAACAGATTCCGATCAAAATGCTAATACACAGTCCATTACCTTCTCCATTTCTCCTTTAGTTCCTCTATATAATTCACCTATTCTCTTCCCTGCTCTGACTCATCCACTTCAAATTTGCTCTGGTTTTCTTCTTGGTAGAGCTCAAAGCAAGCTACTTTTGGAGGAAATTTGAGCGGAGATGATACAGGTAAAAGGAGGAAGAAGTTAACTCGGGAGCTAAAAAGTTTCCTGAGAACCAATAGAAACGACGGCCCAAAAAGAGGAGAATGGCTGATAATACTCATTGGGTGCCTTTCCTTGAGCCTGGAGGGCTCGTGTCTTCGCCTTTCCATATAGATGAAAAATCCCAGTTTGTGGGCCACTTCCACTTTTATGCATATAACTCTAGTTACTGTAATAGGAGCTGTTAGGGCTAAAAACCAAGTGCAATACCCTAGGAATTCAGGTTAGGAATGACTCTAGCTCGGATCAACTCTTTTATACCCTGATCGAGCAGGCTTAAAAAATAGTGCTAAAGAATCCATGAACCAAGAATTCTATCGTAGCGTGACTAAATTGTTTGTGTTGTAAAAGCCAGGGATTTTAACTGAAAATGACTAACCAAACGGTACAATACTTAAAATTCTAGCAACATTACAACAAGATTATCCATTTAACAATACATGATAGGTTCAAAATCTACTAGGATTTCCGGCGCCTAGAAACAAAGCTCATCGAGCATAAACTGAAACATAAAAGCCTTTTGTCAGTAATGAGTCAAAAACAATTTTAATCAACACACTTAATATTAAAAAAATACCTGAAGCCCAAGATGACGGCAAAAGGAATAAGACCATTTGCTCGGTTTATTAAATTCCTACAAACGCCAACATAAAATGCTTTTCAGCATGATTTCACCATTACAGTGAAATGCTTAAAGCTGAAAACTTCTAGATATGTGCTGAAAACTTATGAAGAAGTTTCTATCTCCAAAAAAAATAAAATATGATTAGTAGTAAATATCTAAAAAAAAAGAACAACCTAAACTCAGGAAACGGAGAGCATTTATTATTCTTCGAACTTAAAAGTTGTATCATAAATGCCTAGATGAAGGAATCCAGCTGCAGCCCAATTGATACAAAAATGCCAAGGGGGTGAGATGGCTGCACAAAAGCAATAATAATAAAATAAGCAGCAGCATCACCTCGATTGCAAATTGCACAATAAGCTCAGCAATTTGCCACAAACCTTTCTGAGATGCCTTTGAGGTGAAGATAAACCTGTGGGTCAGAGAACTAATAAAAAAAAACATCAATCAATTACCCATAAAAATATCTAAGAATTTCGATAAAAGGACATTTCACAAACACTCTTTAATGGTTTATCTTGAGGCTAAAACAAAATAAAGGCAGTGAAAAACAGAGGACAGGAACATGCCAACTAAAGTTCAAATACAGCCAACATGTTTTTTTAGTGTACAACTGCCCTCCAGAAGAGCTTCAATGTAGTCAGATCCGGATAGCAGTATCTGTATTAAGAAACACAGTACCTTATCAGCCAAATATTCTCACATAGGCATTGTTATTATCATAGAACAAGATAACAATACTAAGGTAAATCATAACCCACATAATTTTATAACAATCTCTCTTAGAAGCTAAAATGATGATAGGTAATAACCTTCAGACAGCCACAATAGTTGTTCATCTCTTTCTTCCACCACGCTCCCTTAATGCTAGAGTTAAGGTTTCTCCAGGAACAATATTGTAATAAGCAAGTGTAAGATTATCCTTAAGAAAACCAGCCCGCCCACTTAGTTTTTGCTTATTAGCCGGCAACTGAATCTCTCCTGCAATCTTCTCCTTAAAGTTTCCAACTGTCTCAGAAAGTGACTGGACAATAATTTCCAAAATTTGACCTTTAAAACTTCCTTCATCAACATTAGGAACTGATACAGAAATACGAGCAGAACCCTGTGCACAAGAGATTATTTTGAATTAAATTTTGAGTTGAAGAATTCCCGAATAATCATCAGTGAACAACAAATGACATGTTTGAAACTGCCAGGATAAAAGAGGAATTAAAGATGATGGTTTGCGAATAAAAAAAATTACCGGATGCTGTGCAAGGAACTGCTCTTCCGGGATAAGTGTAGTATCATCCATTCTTGCCCTCTTGGGCTCTGGTTCATCAGGAAGTGGAGGAGGAGCTTCCTCAGGAGGTGGAGGTGGAGGCATTCCTAGAGGAAGAGGTGGTGGAGGAACCATTGGCATGTTTGGTGGTGGAATAGGCATTGGAGCAAAATGTCTCGGAACACCCAAAGGATTAAACTGAGATCCTGGTGGAGGAGGTACAGGTATATTTGGTGGATTAACAGAAATGGGCTGGAGCATTGGGGGTCTATTCATTACAAGAGATTGCTGAGTTGAAGTAACCGGCATAGGTGGAAGGGGTGGCCTCATTGATGGAAGTACTGAAACAGGAGGTCTAGGTGGTGGAGGAGCGTTTGTAGGAGCTGAGTATGCTGAAACATTTGGAGGGAACCGAGGAAGATTCAAAGCCAACCCAGGTGGAGGAGGGAGTGGACGAATTAATGGAGTGCCCGGTTTTGGAGGAGGAGCAGGACCTGGAAGATTCCTCCCATCATTGTTATTGGAATCGGTGATCTCTTCATTGGACAGGCTCTGAGAAAGTGCCTGATTTGCAGTTCTTCCAATACTTCCAGTATGTCCATCCCATATCACTTGTTTTGGTTGTTCATCCTTCTTCTTTTCAATCTCAGCCTTGACAGCATTTGATACTTCTTCTTCTGTGGTTCCAAAGATATCTGGACGTGTTCGTGCAAGTCCGACAATATTTCGAGAGATCTCATCATCTGCAGCAAGAGTTGTCTCCCGGATCTTTGCCATCATCCGCTCCTTTTGTTCCTTGTATTTTGGATCTATGAGGGATATTCGCATGTGCTCGGCCATCTCACTAATAGGAATCAGTTCTCCTGTGATTGGTGAAATCATAAATTTAGTAGGGTCCCTCTCCGCAGGAATTCTTTCTTCAGGTCTTTTCCAGTTTTTAACAATCCTCATTGGAGCATCAGGTTCATCTGTCTGCACCTTGGTTTCACCCTTTTTCTCATCAATAAGACCATTGTTATCTATTCTCGCTGCTTTCATGCCTTCCTCAACAAGCTGCATCTCCTCCTCATCCATCTCCATCTCCATATCCTTAGCAGGCTCAACACCTGCCATTGGAGCTTCCTCATCCAAACCTGAAATCTTGCTCCTCCTTATAACCTCCTCCAGTGTCAGTGGCACTGGAAGTTCCTCATCCTCATCATCAGCAAACTCAATTGTCTCCACCACAACAAAATCATGCCAATCAATCATTGCCATCAGTGCCCTCTCCTGCTCGATCTCATCCTCAGCCTTCTGTCTTGCTTGCTCCTGCGACCTCTCCCATTCAACTCGATGCAAACAACGCTCAAGAACAGTCGTCATATCAGTAACACTTTTATTCAGCTTATCAATAATCCCTTTGGGTGGCATCAGAACCTTTGAATAAGCATCAGCCAAAGCAGTGAAGAAAGTGAACATGCTGTGCGTTGGTTTCAGAAAATGAAACTGGGGGTTGCTAATCTCACGGCTCGTAAGGTTTGTCAGAAATGACTTCCCATTTCTAGCAACAAATTGGGCCGTAAGCTTAATAATATCCAATTCCTCTCCAGTGATTCCTTCAGGAAGACGAACAGTATACTGCTCAGCTTCAGGCGGCTCAAGCACCTTTCTTGGAGGAATCAGAAATTGCACAGCCAAATCAGTTGGCTTTGCTGTATCGCCATCATCCACTGCAAGCTGTGCAGCTGTGACAGCCGAGGAAGTAGTTGAACCAGGCTCGGCTGGCTGGGGAGTGTCGGATGACGTTTGCTGGGAAGATTGAACCTGAATCCGGTGCTCTGAAACCCGATGCTGGTAGTAAGCATGGTAAGGATCAGACTGAATCAAAAAGTTGAACTTCGCATTGCCAGCATTGTTGGCAAGAATGCGCCGCTCAAATTCAGGGCCGTTTTTAGCAACGAAGGCCGCTGTCTTCTCAATGATCATACGAATATCTGGGGGAGGGTGAATAATTCCGATCGTACGGGTGTGAGTGGCGACCGAAGACGGAGGTGGTGCGGGCGGCTCAGGGACGGAGTTGCCCTTTTCATCCCTGGAATCTTCGCTGACTTGTGACAGGGGAATCGGTCCAAGGTCACCATCGGAGGGCGGAGCCGGAAGAGTAAGTATTGGGCCGAGCATGTCTGCTTCTTCAATAGGAGAGATCAAGTACGTGGCATTAAAATCAGGCTAGGGTTTGCCTTTGGATCGTAGCAGAGACCGCGTGTGTACTGGCTTCTATATTGTGAAATTTATCGAGCGACGGCAAAATAGAGGAAAAATGAGAACAATTACCTGATTTATTGCCGAATTAAGTGAGAAACAGGTATGGATCCGAGGGAGATAACGTGGTAGAGGCGCTAGGGTTTCTGGAATCTTTGCGCGAGCAAAGAGCCGAACGGGGAGCTTGTTTTAAATAGCGGGGGTACTGGAAAGGAACTTGATTCGGGATAGCCTGGTATGATGAACCTCAGGTTAAAATACTATAAGTTGATCCGTTGAACTTTTTTATAGGGGCAATTATATACATAGCATTTGAAATTTTACTATTTACAAATCAACCCCCCACATCCATCCATTTTTCATATTCTCAGTCAAATTTGTTTGAATGACTTGATACCAAGAATGTTAGTATGAAAGAATATGCCATAAAGAGACATAAAACTTTAACTTCAAATAATAATTTTCACATAATCATATGAGAAATAAGAAATATCATATTTTTCTAATGAAAATTCTATAAAATATAGAAATGTAGGCTTTGGCACAACTAAAAAAAAATTTAATAGTTAGAAAATATAATTACAACTGATTTTCTTTCCAAATAATTGGAAAAGAAATATCGATATAATGTCAAGCCTCTTGAAATTCATAGGCATTGGCGTATATGATGAATGATGATGGAAAGCCGTTAGAAATAATATTACTTTTTAGCGGAGTGATTTTGATGACCTGAATTGATGAGCAAGTAGAGGGTAAAATGATCTATCTAGATTAAGTAATAAAATATTAGATAAACACTGATGGATCATAACTAAACTGAATTAAAATAGAGGTTTTTTTTTTTCATGAATGAATGTATTGAACTGAATAACTGAAGTAGATAAGTTATAAGATGTGATCATGACTACTTTCCTATTAGAGAGGTGTTGATTGGATAACTGAAGTTGATTAATGATTATAGTTATTTAGTACAACCACTCTTCTAAATATAAAGGATGGATTAAAAGACAAAGATCCCGACATAGATTCTCTTTAAAAAAGGAGATGGACTAAATGATCATAGTGAATGGGATTAAAGAAATCAGGATAATCATTAATCCAAAATAAAGTGGTGGACTAAATGTTCAAAATCGGTGTTCGATAAGAAGTTGTTGGAATAACTGCTCTCTCGAAGAGTTTTATGGTATAGCTATATATTTTAGAGGTAGGATAATATTATGATATTATGTTGTAGTAATAAAGCTAACTGGAGACTAAATGTTTGACCAATGGTGGGCAACCAAGCTTGGACAAGGGGGTGACCACGAAAACTCTCATCCATCAATTTTGTCTGCTTTGGCCAAAAACCCTCATAGCTTTGTTCCATTGGTGTAACTCTTATGCGAGCACACTTAGCTTTGGAGTTTTTTTATAAAATTTCAACTATTACACCAAAAAACACCTTAATATTTAAGAATTGAGCTTGATTCTACTTAAGAGATTTCACAATCACCCCCACTTAAGTAACTAGTGTCTTCATCATTATTCTAAACTCAAAATCATCCAATAAGTAATAGGATTCTAGAGCTAGCTCCACAGATTCAAGAGGTGATTCACACCATGGAACACTTTGTCATCTAGGATTCAAAATGTGGCTTCTAAGGCACAACACTTTATTTGTATGACATGATATTGCTATCTATACTATGTTGTCACACTTCAATATCATTTGTAACAGCTCGAATTCTCATTCATCAAAATATTGTCCAATTTAGCTTAATGTTCTCACACATAATAAAATTCTAACAATTACCTCAAAAAACGTCTCATTGTATAAAATTTCAGCTTTATTCTACTTAAGAGGTTTTACAATCTCTCTTCAATTAGATAATTTATGCCCTTGATAATGCTTTTAACTAGAATCATCCAAATTGCAGATAATATTTTAGAAGTGTTTGAGACACTTCCCATCTAGGATTCATTTGGTTGCTTCGAATATGTCACTTTATTTTGTATGACACTTAGTTCCCATCTTCAGGTTAATCTAAAACTTTGATACCATTTGTGATGCCAAATGGTGCCTCATTTATTAGCTTCATTCTTCTTAAGGGGGTATCACAAAGAGCTTATTTTTGGAGAGGGAGTATGAGAGCGAATGATAAAAGTGAGTGAATAAATATGATACCATATAATCTCACAAAAATAATTACAAGGGATCATGAAGTGTTTGAAGACCTCATTAAAAGTAGGGTCATAAAATGAAATTCATTAAAGTAACAACTTAACTATACATAAAATAACTAAGACTAAATATAAAATTTTTGATCAACAATATATAAATATGAAAGTTTCTATTAATCCATTCAAAACAGATTTTGTAAATTTAAAAAATGGAGCGACTGGCTATTAAAATTAAGAAAATTGAGTGATATGGTGGGAGCTCAAGGAGAAATAATTCAACCAATTACAAGAGCCCAAAAGAAAAAAAAAGATAGCTTCTTGTAACAATGGACCCATTACAAAGAGAATAATGAAGAGTTTTAATTTAATTTTTTTTAAAGTACAATTATTTAATAAGCATATATAATTGTAATTTATAAAATTTGAAATTTTGCACAGTTTAAATTTTTAATTTAATTTTTTGAAATTTTGAATTTTGAATATGTTAAAGAATGCTTTTCAATTTTAATAGAAAACTGATTATCTTCTTGAAATAAATTGTTGTGACACAAAGTATCAATTGAGAAAGAAATGGACCAACATTTTAAGCCTCAAAACAAGATGAAAATTAAATAAAATGAAGAACTAATAACAAGGATTAAGATAAAGATATTTAAATCTACACATTGAAAAATAATTATGTCAGATTATATGCATAAAAATTTAATTTATAGCCATACATGAAACTTTATGTATATCAAAAATGTGTCAGCGCGAATCTTTAAGAGATCAGACGATCAACAAGAGAGGCGACGTGGCGCACTGGAACCCGCCAAAGATGATCCAAAATCTCATATAGAACTAGCATGCATCTATAGGCCAGAGGGAAGATAATCCTTAGATGAAACAAACTCAACTACTCTCTTAGAGTCAACTGACAATTGTTTCGGTAACTTGATGTATAGACGCCCGATCATAGGCTCTCGGTTCTATCTGATTCTCCCACCGATCTGGCTGGAAGCCATCATAAGCTTTGAACCCATAGGCTCCCAGTTCTATCCGACACTCCCGATCCATTTCATGCTCCCAGACTTATCCGGTCGAGCGTCTTCTTAGACTCCTGACCCAATATGGTTAGGCGCCATTTCTTGCTTTCGGCCTCCATTCAGTCGGACCCCTTTGTTGGCTTCTGGCACTATCCGAACGAGTGCTATTTCAGGCTCTTGACATTGAATTCATCCATTAACTAATATACCCCTCTATATCTATGTATTATAGGGGTACAAAATGTAATTATACCCCCATTTCTATAAATAGGAGGCTCGTTTCATGAATAAGGGTTGTTCGATTTAACGTTTCTATATTATGCTATTACTCTCTTCGTACCTCTATTTATCTCATTCTCATGCTCTAATCCTTAGAGATCTTTTTGAATTCAACATCCTAAAAGGTGCAGTGAGCATAAAGTCGTGCATTTGATAAAAAAGAGGAGTGCAACGATCACAAAGAAGACATGATTGATGGAGAGAAAGAGCCAACATAGAACATCAAGAAGATCTGGAGGAGCGCATGAAACAAGGGATGCATGAGATGAGAACTCAAATCATAGACTAGGTTTCAGGCTAGATCGTAGAGGTTCTAAAAGTTGTCGCAGACATAGTAGGAGGGGTCCCCCAGAAATCAGCATCGGCGCCCAACAGTTGGAGAGTGAACCATGGTCTGGAGAGGGTTGAAGACTTAAAGTATCAGGATAGTGTTGGGTCAACACAGGTGGAGAGGCAATGTGTCAGGCGCACTGAAGCCCTGCAACAACCAAAGAACCCCTTCTCCTTAGATCTTGGGGGTTGAGCCCCCATAAAAGTTCAAACTACTAGCTTTAGAGGCCTACAGGGGTTGTTCAAACCCTGTCGATCACATTGCTTCATTTGATTCGGACAAGTGCTTGCTCAAGATCTCAGACACATTTAAGTGTTGTCGGTTTTTCACCACTTTCAGGTTGTAGACCTTGAACAGGTTCCATGCACTTCTAGCTGGGAGCATCGACAAGTTTGTTGAGTTTACTGACACAATTTTCTAATGCTTAGGAACCCACCAAGATCGTGCAGTCCTTGTGCCAGCTCATGCAAGGTCAGCACAAGAGCCTGCACTCATTCATAACACGCTTTTTTAGGGAAATGTTGGAGGTGGAAGACCTCTGGGTCAATGCGACCCAAGCTGTCTTACAGAAAGGCCTGAGGTCCAAGAGGTTTTCATTTGACCTCATTCTAAACAAACCCCAAGATTTGGTTGAGCTATTGGAAAGGGAAAATGGCACACACCCAAGTGTTGTGAAGCACCGACGACTCATGTAAGTATATATGTTGTATCAGCAATATCGATTTAGAGTCTAATTGTCGATTCACTGGGAACGTGGTAAACCCGATTTTGAAAAAGCTTTAGTCTACTAATATTGTACCTAACCTATAAATTTTGATTAACAAATTTGAATAAATTTCTATTTGAAATTGTGGCAAGTAGTCTTTCCTAGAAAACAAGAAGATTCTTATAGAAATTCAAATGATGAGAGATTTATCCCTTGAATCAGCCAAGTGATAGATAGAACTAAGGATTAGGTACAAAAGAAAGTGTCAATTAGAATCAAAATTCTTCCTTACCCCTTTTTGGTTGTCTAAGAGATATCAACAGTCTTAAATTTAGTTCCCTAAAATACTTGATATGCCTAATAGAAAATATCTGCTAAGAGATTATATATATTCATTGATAATATTTCTACAATGAGTTTATGTGATTAACTCATTCATTCCACAAAGAATCCTTTTGAATCTCAATATTCATGAAACTTTTAAACAATCCACTTTCCAGGTAGAAAGTAAATTAAGATTACGAGTTAACACAACACTTTTAAAATATTGTCATGCAAATTACTTAGAAATCCTTAATCCTATTCAACCATCCTCAAAATTCAAGAGAGAAATCAGAAGAACTACTCACGGTTCATGAAAAAAAGACATCAACAAATTTTACATTAAGAAAAGCCATCATACATCAA